GGGATTTTGGTCAGGAAACAGGAGGAGCGAGTGCAGCAGGTGAGGAAGAGGCTGGAGGAGGCGCTGATGGCCGAAGGATTTTCCAGGAATTTCGAGTGCGGAAAAATTCCGGAATTTTCCCGGAAAAACGACCAGGAGGCGTGAAAAATAAAAGGTAAAAAAAATTGGGGGAAATTCAGGGGAAATTGGGAAAAAAAATTTGGTGAAAATCGGGTGAAAAATGGGGGGAAAATGGGGGAAAAATTGGATTTTTGGAGGGGAAAATTGGGGAAAAATTGGAATTTTTGAAGGGAAATTTGGGAAATTGGGAAAAATGTGAAAATTTGGGGAAAATGGGGAAAAAATGGTGAAAAAATTTGAATTTTTGGAGGAAAATTTGGGGAAAATTGGGTGAAAATGGGGAAAAAATTGGAAAAATGGGAAAAAAATTGAATTTTTGGAGGAAAAATTGGGGGGAAAATGGCAAAAAATTGGACAAAAAATGGGGAAAAAATTCGAATTTTTGAATGAAAAATTTTGGGGAAATTGGGAAAAAATGGGAAAATTTGGGGAAAATTGGGAAAAAATTGGAAAAATGAGGAAAAAATTTGAATTTTTGGAGGGAAAATTGGGTGAAAAATGGCAAAAATTAGGGCAAAAAATGGGGGAAAATTCGAATTTTTGAAGGAAAAAATGGGAAAAAACTGAGAAAAAATTGGGTGAAAAATGGGGAAAAAAATTCGAATTTTTGAAGGAAAAATTTTGGGGAAAATTTGGGGAAAATTGGGAAAAAATGTGGAAATTTGGGGAAAAAATTGGGAAAAAATTGGGAAAATGGGGAAAAAATTGAATTTTTGGAGGAAAAATTGGGTGAAAAATGGCAAAAAATTGGGCAAAAAATGGGGAAAAAATTCGAATTTTTGAAGGAAAATTTGGGGAAAATTTGGGGGAAAATTGGGAAAAAATTCGAATTTTTGGAGGAAAAATTGGGAAAAATTGGGTGAAAAATGGGGAAAAAAATTCGAATTTTTGAAGGAAAAATTTTGGGGAAAATTTGGGGGAAATTGGGAAAAAATGGGGAAAAAATTCGAATTTTTGGAGGAAAAATTGGGGGAAAATTGGGTGAAAAATGGCAAAAAATTGGGCAAAAAATGGGGAAAAATTCGCATTTTTTGAAGGAAAAATTGGGGAAAATTTGGGGGAAATTGGGAAAAAATGGGGAAAAAAATGAATTTTTGAAGGAAAAATTTTGGGGAAATTGGGAAAAAACTGAGAAAAAAATGGGGAAAAAAATCGAATTTTTGAAGGAAAAATTTTGGGGAAATTGGGAAAAAATGGGGTGAAAATTTGGGGAAAATCTGGTGAAAATTGGGAAAAAATTGGACAAAAAATGGGGAAAAAATTCAAATTTTTGAAGGAAAAATTGGAGAAAAAATGACTAAAAATGGGAATTTTTGGGTTAAAAATTTGGAATTTTTTTGAGTTTAAAAATCGGGACTTTTTGGGTGAAAAATGTGGATTTTTTTGGGTAAATATTTGGGATTTTTTGGGTGAAAAAATGGAAATTTTTTGGGGAAAATGGGAATTTTTTGGGAGGAAAAAATTGGGAATTTTTGGGTTAAAAATTGGGAATTTTGTGGGGTTAAAAACGGGAATTTTGGGGGTTAAAAATGCGAATTTTTTTGGGAAAAATTTGGAATTTTTGGGTTAAAAATGGGAATTTTTGGGGTGAAAATTTGAATTTTTGGGTTAAAAATGGGAAATTTTGGGTAAAAATTGGGAATTTTTTGGATAAAAATTGACATTTTTATGAAAAAAATCGAATTTTTTGGGTAAAAATGTGGAATTTTTGGGGGAAAATCAGGAATTTTTTGGGAAAAATTTGGGAATTTTGGGGGAAAATTTTGAATTTTTTTGGGTTAAAAATTGGGAATCTTTGGGTTAAAAAATGGGAATTTTTGGGGCAAAAAATGGGAATTTTAAGGGAAAAATTGGGGAAAAAAATCGAGAAAATTTTGGAATAAAATTGCGAAAAAAATTTGAATTTTTCCCCCAATTTTTTGGTCCAAAATTCCTCCAAAAATTCAATTTTTTTTTCTTTTTCAGGTCCAGGAAAAGCGAAGCAAAAAAACGGCTGCAAAATTCTCCATTTTTGGCACTTTTTGACCCATTTCGGGCATTTTTTGGCCCGAAATTTTGGAATTCTAAAAATTCCATTTTTTTTAACCAAAAAAA